CCAAATAGTCAACCCCAAACTGCAAGTGGATCCACCCTGTAATAATTCCGTGCGTGTAGCATTACTGAGTGCACGCGGGAGCACCCTCCAACTAGTTGCTCCCTTTGGTAGGCTGTTATGGGCTGGGCCACAATTATACGACTTTGTATTCAGCATCATCATCATCATCATAATAATAATAATAATAATAATAATAATAATAATAATAATAATAGGTCCAGGTGGCGTACGAGCAACCTTGAAAAAAGTGGTGTACAAACAAACAGGAGAAAAAAGAGAGCTTGGATGCAGGTTGGTCAATGATGCACGGGAAAGGCAAACTTTGAAGCTTGGTCTCGTTGGTGGTACTACTACGACTCAGTACTCAAGTACTGGCACGCACGGTCGTTTGAACCCAATGCCACGGTACAAACTGCAAAGTACAGCTTTTACGACCGATCGAGGACATCTCAATACCTCATCATGCATCGTCCATTCCGGCCGGGGAAGCAATCAAGCAAATGATCGGCCAGTCGATCATCCGATTAGAAAAGAGGAACACAGGGTTCAATTTTTCACATGTACTGTACGTAGTAGCATAGCAACTTCTGTTGTGCACTCGCGGTGTGGAGCACAGGTTTGCTTTTGGTCATGTGATGTCTCTTTCAAGCAAAGAAAATGGTCAGCTCAGGTGTTGAAAGGTTATTATGATCGATCGTCAAGTTCCTGCTACCGATCGATTCGCGACTTCGATCGGTGAGGTAATTTTGCTGCTTTTTTGGCGCCAATGATTAGTTTTGGTCCTGGTTGTGTACGCACTGGATCATGAACGCTCCAACCACACCTTTCATCTTTCATCAAACATTCAATCGAGCACATAAATAACCGCCGAATCTCATTCAGCCCAAGCGCAAATTACACGAGAATTAATCAAATCGATGCTTATTCTCGCAACACATCTTCTTCTTCTTCTGTCCCTGCTAAAAATAATAGTAATCCATTCCCTCCCCAGCTTTGAGGAAGGAAAGGAACAACCAAACGACAAGCTAGCGGGAGCTCGCTCTAGCCTCTAGGAGAGGATGGCCGGGTGGCAGTAGGGCCCGTTGACCCAGCCGTCGGCAATCTTCTTGTAGGCCGCCTCCGTCAGGTGGATCCCGTCCCAGCTCAGCGACGACGACGGGTTGCCGCACGCCGACGCGCCGGACATGCCGCACCTGGCGCCGTTCTGGTAGTTGTACTTGCCGCCGCCGGCGCCGCAGCACGCCCTCAGGTTCGTGCTGAACCCTGTACAAGCAAACAAACACTCAGCTCGCCGGAGCCGGGGAAGACGACGGAGTAGTAAGAGGACCATGGTCAGTACAAACAGCGGCGTACGTACCGTAGCTGGTGGGGCTCTTGACCATGTCGAAGACGTGGGAGTAGAAGTCGGCGTACATGATCTTGGCGTAGGGGTACTTGCTCTGCAGGCTGCTCACCTTGCTCTGGAGCAGCGAGTTGTGTCGGGCCGACAGCGCGTTGAACCGCTTGAGGCAGCCGTACTGGTCGTAGTCGCCGGCGTTGGAGGTCTGGTAGAGCGTGAGGTAGATGGGGAAGCAGCCGACGGGGAGCACCCCGGGGATAACGACGTACATGGCGCCCAGCCCGATGAGCTTCTCGGCGCCGGCGCCGATGGCGTCCACGATGGTGGGGCTCTGCCCGGCCGCCTGCTCCGGCGTGTAGCCGCCGAAGAGCTGCGCGTTGTAGTCGTTCCCGCCCAGCTCGCCCAGCACGAACAGGGACTTGGACAGGTACGTCTTGCACGCTGCAGTGCACCAACAAGGACGTGGAGTTAGTTAATGGCGCGCGTGATCGTGCATGAGGCGGGGTGGGGGCGGGCAGGCGGGCAGCCGTTTTGTTTTTCTCTCTGGCCTTGGCATGGACCAGGCGTCGTTAATGGCGGTGGCGGTGGGGGAGAGGAGGTAGGAGGGGGGTTAATGGCGGTGTTTGTTACGTACATGAGCCGCAGACGGAGGGGAGGAGGTTCTGGAACCACTGGATCTGGCTGTCGAGGGGCCCGTTGTTCCAGATCTTGTCGCCGACGCCGAGTGACTGGAAGAAGCTGGAGCCCATGGCGGTGGCGCCGATGATGGCCATGTTGGCGCCCTGCTTGAAGTTCGCGCCGCCCTGCTTCGACGGCTTCAGCAGCGGCAGCCCGAACTTCTCGGCTGCACGCACACGCCAAGAACAGAGCACGTCAGGTCAATTGCCGAAGCAGAGTACCGTCCGCTGTTTTTCTTGTTTTGGAGGGAAAATGCATGGCGGGTTCAAATCAAAACCGGCGGCGGCAGCGAGCGTGCGTACCGAGGAAGTCGACGACGAGGCGGCCGTCGGAGCAGCGGCAGGTGGCGCGGCCGAAGAAGGTCTCGCCGTAGGGGGGCTGGGTGAGGGTGAGGCCGGCGGGGGGCCCGTTGACGCAGAGGTTGCCGGTGTCGGACATGGAGTCGCCGAAGCTGTAGATGGCGTTGAACTTCTGGCCGGATACGGCCAGGAAGCACGCCGAGACCATCACAAGCGCCACGAGCAGCGGAGAGGACGCCATTGTTGCCTAGCTCGGAGTTCTGGGACTGGGACTACTGATCGCTCGACGGATGGATGGTTGGGTAGATGAAGGAAACCGTCGGGGGCTCGGAGGCTTATATACAATGTTCTGGGACTGGGACTACGTGCCGGTGGTCCGGTGGCACGTAGCTGTTGCTGCGCCATTAGCCCACCTCGCCCCAATCAATCTTCACAGAGCTTAACTAACTAGTACTACTCGCTAAACTAGTATTTTGTCACCGGGTTGTTGTGCATGCATGAACTCTTATCTTTTCCTTCCTTCTCAAGGCTTTCCTCTCTGGTTCCCTTTCATCCTCGTGTTCTAATGTTCAATCATGTCAGTACATCAGATCTTTATCTTCCCCTGCTTTTATCCGGTTACCACTTTTTTAGCTAGGCGCGCTAGGCTACATATCTTTGAAATCAACAAAGCAAGTACTCCCTCCGTCCCATAATATAAAAACGTTTTTGGCATTACACGGACGGAGGGAGTAGATTGCATTATTTGGTTTGCTGGCTAATATGTTAACATGTGTCTTTTACTACAAATTTGGTATTCCTCTGGTGCCTGAAAAATTCACGCGTGTTAGTCGATTTTTGAACGAGTCCGAAGATGGGGTCGACGCGGCGAGGCCAAGTCAGGTTGCTCACCGGAGACAGGGACGGCGCTACAAGCGGGAGCGAGCTGTGACCTTCCAGACAAAAGCGAAGAATAGGGTTGACTAGCACGGGTCAAGGGGTGGGAGGGGGGCGGGGCAGCGGTAAGCACCATGGTTGAGGAGGAGGGGGCAGCGCGGGGCGGCTCCCCAGGCCACAGAGCCAAATGTGATCTGGCCAAGGGGGTAAATCGGCGAACTGCAAAAAAAACAGACACATGTGTTTTTTTGCGAAGTAATGGGTTTTATTTCTATGTTATGTAATAGTGTTACAGTCAAGAGGCAACAAATCCTCAATGCAAGGTGGAGCCGAGATCAACCACACAGCGGTTGTACCCTCGGTACGGCTATAACTGGCCAACCGATCTGCAACTCTCTTTTGACTACAAAGAATTTTTCGAGGATAAAACTCCCTAACACACGTTAACTCTTTGATCTCCCGAACCATATGACCATAGGCAGAACGCTCCAGCCCCCTGTTTGACAACAAGATAGTTCTTCCGACGAGTGACCCACACACTAACGAGAATTGCATTAATTTTTCGTGAGCATCATGATTTGAACCCTCGATAGATGAACTGGTCTCCCTACGCCTTTGTGATATCATCATGTGACATATAGGTTCCTGGTTGTGGTACATTTGGAGCACATATCCTCTGACTTCAGCTAGATGGCTTTGGGTCATTGACATGTGGCCCCGCATGTCCGGCAAGCCACTGTTGAGTTATCTGATTGAAGTTAGAGCATATACATTGGGAAGCGGATTAGGAGCACTCGGCGGGTGTGTGTGTTTTGGATAACAATTGGTACTTTTGTGATGAGTAGAGGTTCAGCTCCTTCTTCCTTGAGATCAGGGAAGCTAATTCGCTGTCAGAACTAACACCGTCTGGTTGGCCTGCTAGCTTTCCCGTGATTAATTTGCATGTGCTGTTCCAGGAAAGCAGGGACATGAAAGCGAGGCCTTCATATTTCTTCTCTTGATTCTCTTATTGTCCAATCTATATATAATGGGAGAACAAAAGCAAAGTGGCCAATTATATGCAGTATGGCCATGGGCGTATAATACTACTACAAGTCTACAAGTACAATAGAGTCGGCGGGCCTGAAAGTCTCGGTGGTGCTTAGTCTAGTTGGACTGTAGTAGTATGGCCTCGGGAGTATAACTAATTCTACAACCACCTAATCATTTTCTCCACAGACTCCCGACATGTAGTACAAATTATTCTCGAATCATCAAGCTTGATTTTTAACTTATGCCAGCAAAGAAATAATGCAATTTAATTAAGTATAGGTAGGTGCGTATTTACAGGCAGGCTCTCAGCACTAATGTGCTCTACTGTACCTGCTTTCTTGATGCCACTGCATGGAAAGCCACTGGCCTCTCTCATATAATGGTGCCATGGACGAAAGCCATGGACACACTGCATATAATATAACTAAAAAAAACTGAAGAACATCGAGTGCATGATCTCGGAAGGAAAAGAGAAAGGGAGGTGACTGATTAGGTAATCAATTCCATCAACCGAGCAGCTAGCTAGCCAGCACCATCATGATCATCACGTACATATACACATGCTGCATGATTCCACAGCCCCCGTTATAATTGGCAGCCAGCCCTTTGTTAGAATTCGTCGCCCAAAAGCCGTGCTTCCTCAGAAACAGAAACCTACAACGACCACATCAGCTAGCAGCCAGCCGGCTGAAGAGCACCGGTGGTTATATGCTGCATTTGTGTCAACCGGACGCCACCATCGTTCGTTGCTTTCGACCTCCTCCTTTCCCGGCTCGGGAAGCTATCAGCAGCAGCCCCGCAGGTCAAACACCATTGTCAGCAACAGCAGCTGCATGCAGATGCAATGATCCATGTGTGGTTACACTAATACGGTCACACAACTTTATAAATCGCAGGGGTGCTATATTTGTGGAATCGTAGCCTGTGTGCATGGCCTTATAGCTAGCTAGGTCAGAGGAGATATTCGTCTTCCCTTCGCCTGTGTTTGCTAGCTTAGCGGTAGTTGCACTTGCATGCATGTGTGACGTGTCGTACGCAGTACTGATTTGAATATCTCGATTTCCCGCGAGAAAAATCCACAAATATCTCCACCGGAAAGGGAAGACTATACTTAACCTAGGGAGGAGAGATAAGATACGGATGCAGCGCGCGCGCAACAACTCCATTACGGGAGGAGGACATGCATGCAAGCATGGATGCGGGTGCAACGGCTGGTGTTTGCCGGCCGGGGTGGATGGCGTGTCAATTCTCGAGCAAACTTTTTCCCTCAAGAAAATGAATGAAAAATATCGAACTAACTTGGCACTGGATATGCATGGGCCATGCATGTGCCAAGGTTTCCGTGCCAAGTAGTGTGAGCCCAAGGGGAAAAGGTTGACAGTGTGGTCAACGAACGTAACCAACTGATGGGTTGCTTTCTTAGAAGGTCCATTATCGTTGCCGAAACATATACTCTCTCCGTCCCCAAATAAGTGTCTCAACTTTATACTACCTCTAATACAAACTTGTACTCCCTTCGTTTTTATTTAGTTCGCATATTAGTTTTGGTCAAAGTCAAGCTTTACAAATTTTGACCAAGTTTATAAACAAAAATATTAAGATATACAATAACAAATCAACAACATTAGATTTATTATTTAATGTACATTCACATCGTATAGATTTATTATGATAAATGTCTATATTGTTTTCTATAAACTTGGTCAAACTTTACGAAGTTTGACTTCAGTCAACTCTAATATGCAGAGTAAATAAAAATGAAGGGAGTACTAAGTTCAAGACATTTATTTTGGGACGGAGGGAGTATATGGCTACCAACTAATTAAAGTCTCTAGCGGCTACTTGATTTGGGCTTGTGGGCGTTGGAGTTTCTTGACCATGGTGCACCCTCCTTTCCGGGAAAAGAAATGGAGATTAACTCTTAATTTAGCTGTCAACTAACAGTTCGACTCTAAACTTAAATTACTCGCAGATTGGATCGACCAACCCTGCATGTGCAGATGATGTTGTACTACTTTGTTATCCAAAACAGACAGAAAACAACGTTTCAAGCGTCGCAGATAAAACAACACTGACCGTCAACGGACCGGTCAGGTCGTTGGAGTGTTCGATCTTGATCAGACACCGGTGCAGGCATTCTTGCATGTGCTTTGTTGTGACCGTGCTTTGACTAATGCGTCAGCCTTGGTGACATGCATGTACATCTGCAGAGATGGCGAGAGCTGCCGTGCGTTGCACCATCACATGCATCGTCGGTAGCCAAGGCCGGTTATCAACATCAAGCCAGTTAAATAAGATTATCTGGTTATGATGAGTCGAGACCAGCTGCAGACCGACGTCAAGCCAGGCAGCGACATCTCTTGACAGCTTCGATTCCTTACACATTTTTTTCTTTTCTTTTCTTCTATGGATTCCTTGCAACATGAGCACCTGGCTTGGCTACTAGACTACTAGTACTCTGATTATGCAATTAACAAACCTAATCAGTTGTTTAGACAAGTGCCATTAGCTTAACTAACCGGCCGGCCGTCCTGCCTACCAAACAAAACCATTTAATTCCATTTTTTTGGCGGAGAAAAACCATTTAATTCCATGCCGCGCCAGAAAAATAATTCCAGACATGAACTTGAGCTGCTTGCTATTGCTAGCAGCTAGCTCCAGGACAAGAGGAGCAGGTACGTACCACTAACACTCACTCATAGTTAGGTAGCAGCATCAGCGGCGGCGGGCAAGAACCATTTCTTCTTGGTTTCCTTGGACAGCCGCTCCGGTACGTTTCTGAATAATTAGCGTGGACTAGCGGAGCAACGATGGCCGTCGTTATCGGCGGCATGCATGCATATGCTGGTTGATACTGTGTCTTGCAAGCGAACACACACCAACGAGTATAACTTCCATGATAACAACTCTTATCTCTCTCTCTCTCTCTCTCTCTCCTAACGCCCGTGGCATTAGGTCTGAGCCGTGACAGAGAAGCAACATGAAACTTTTAGGAAAAGAGGGAAAATATACATTGGAATTTCTTCAACTGCCAAACCTTAGTTCTATGTGGTGCCCTGCATGGGTATGACGACATTGACATTTTGAATGGTGGTTGTTGCAGCATTTCGATTACAAGTTGGAACACCATCTTCTGGTCATGCCATCATCGGCATTATACTCTCTTTCTTCTTCACAAAATACATGCATCTTCCAATATAAGTACAGGTACGACTAGAGCCTCGCACGACTTTGCATGAATTCTACAGGAACAGATAATTCTGTTGATGAGCATGTGTGTCGTGCATGCTAGCTAGCAATTAACTGCCTGTTAGAGGAAGAGGAGATTCAACA